AACTGAAGTACAGAAAGAAAAATGTTAGAGAAATAGAAAAATAAAATTTAAAAAGACCATATTTGACCTGTGGGATAATATGAAGCAATTAACATACCTATGATTGAAGCAATTAACATACCTATGATTGGAGTACAGAAGGAAAAAGGGGCAGAAAAATATTTGAAGAAATAATTGTCAATAGCTTTTCAAATTTGATAAAAACTTTAAACGCACAGACCCATGAATATCAATAAACCTCAAGCTGGATAAAGAGAGAATCTTAAGGACACCGAGAAAAAAAAGACACTTTAAATACAGAGAGATATTAATGTAAGAATTATGCCTAATATCACAACAAAAGCAGTATAAGCTGGAAGAAAATAGAAAAACAAAAGAGTAAATCCTGGAAAAAAAGACTATAAACCAGTTTCTAAAAACTCTCCAAAAAGTAAGGGCAAATAAAGTCATTTTCATACAAACAAAGCCTTAAAAAAATTCATGGGCAACATACCTGCACTACAAATAATGTTAAAGGAAGTTCTTCAGGTTGATGGAAAATTATGCCAGCTGAAAATTCAGGAATTTTACAAGGAATGAATGCACAAGGAATGAATAGTGCTGAAAGTGGTAAATATGTGGGTAATTATAAAAGACATTACTCACTTTTAATGTATTAAAATGATAACTATTTAAAGAAAAATCAATTATGTTTATAACTTGTAAATAAATAAAATGTTTGACAACAATAGCACAAAGAACAAGAGGTAGGAAATGGAATTATTCCATGGTTCTTACATTTTGAAGTGCTAAAATATTATTTGAAAAGTTAATATTATATAATCATCAGTTAAAGATGCATACTATCACCCTAGAACAACTACTAAAAATACGACAAATGAGTATACCTAATAAACCAATAAGTACTATAAAATGAAATATTAGAATATACTAATTCTATTAAAAAGAAAGATAATGGGGGAAAGGAGATAAATATTGGACAAATCTAAAGCAAATAGCAAAATGACAAACCTTATTCCAACCGTTATGATCATCCCATTAAATATACATGATCTAAACACCTCAAGTAAAATGCCGATTATCAGGCTATATAAGAAAGCAAGACCAACCAACTATATGCTACCTATGAAAAACACATTTTTAAAATGAGCAAAAGATTTGAACACTCACTTTACAACAGAAGACATACAACTGGGCAATCAGCAAGTGAAAAGATGCTCAACATCATTAACCATCAGAAAATACAAACTAAAATCACAATGAAATACTACCACACATTCATTTTAAAAAATAAACAATACCAATCGATGGAACTAAAATTCTGATGCACTGCTGATGAGAGTGTAAAATAGTATAACCGCTGTAGAAAACAATTTGATAGTTTCTTACAATGTTAAACATATGCTAACTATATGACCTAGCAATTTCATTCTAGATATTTACTCAAGAGAAATGAAAAGATGTGCCCACAATAAACTTGGACACTAATGTTTACAGCAGCTTTATTCATAATAGCTTAAAACTATAAACAATCCAATGACCATCAGCAAGTGAAAAGATAAGCAAACTGTGGCATATTCATGCAATGGAATATCACTCCTTAAATAAAAAATAAATACGTACAAAATACTCATACTTGCAAAAATACAGAAGAATCTCAAAACATACTAAATGAAAAATCTAGACACAAAAGGTTAAACACTGTATAATTTCATTCTTATGTAATTCTAGAAAGTGCAGGCTAATTTATAGCGACAGAAAGTGGATTAGTGGTTGCCTAGGGTTGGGTAGAAGATGAAGATCAAAGCAAAGGAGCATGTGATGGAGAGGTTCCATATCTTGACTGGAGTGGTGGTTATAAGGATACAGCACTTCTGCTTACCCCCCGTTTTGTTTTCCAAGGGTTCAGTTACCTGCACTCAACTGTGGTACACTAACAGGTAAGTATGGTATTTTGAGAAAGAGAGAGACCCTATTTACATAACTTTTATCAGAGTATATTGTTATAATTGTTCATTTTCATTAGTAATTGCTATTATTCTCTTACTGTGCCTAATTTATAAATTAAACTTTATCATAGGTATGTATATATAGGAAAAAACAGTATGTGTAGGGTTTGGTACTATGCATAGTTTCAGGCATTTACTGAGGGTCCTCTAACATATCCCCTGCAGATAAGGAGGGACCACTGTCTTTTGTTAAAATTCATCTAACTGCACACTTAAATATATCAATTTTCTTTATGCAAATTATAGTAATAAAGCTGATTTAAAAGAAAAAAAGAGGCCGGGCACGGTGGCTCAAGCCTGTAATCTTAGCACTCTGGGAGGCCGAGGCAGGCGGATTGGTTGAGGACAGGAGTTCGAAATCAGCCTAAGCAGGAGCAAGACCCCCGTCTCTACTATAAATAGAAATTAATTGGCCTACTAATATATACAGAAAAAAAAAAAAGTAGCCAGGCATGGTGGTGCCTGTAGTCCCAGCTACTTGGGAGGCTGAGGCAGAAGGATTGCTTGAGCCCAGGAGTTTTAGGTTGCTGTGAGTTAGGCTGATGCCACGGCACTCACTGTAGCCTGGGCAAACAAAGCGGGAAGAAAAGGAGGAAGTAAGGAGGGGAGGGAGGGAAGGAGGGAGGGAAGGAGGGAGGGAGGGGGAAAGGGGGGACGGAGGGAGGGGGAAGGAGGGAGGGAGGGAAGGAAGGAAGGAGGAAAGGAGAGAAGGAAGGAAGGAAAGAAAGAGATATATCATTATATAATGATATTTAGAATTCATCTGATTGCTAAATAACCCAACCTCAGAAAAGTATACACTTTATATTTCTGTAAACACTCTCTCATGTTATATAAAGCAGCCCCAATAATAACCTCTAATTCTTCTTATCTTCTCTTCATCTACTTGTTAGTTGTCACCATGTTTACATTTTGTACTTATCAAAGAAACTAAATTGAAAGAAGATGGAAGTAACTGGCATATTTATAAAAAAATTCCAAAAAGCTAATATAAATCCTACCCCCCAGCCACTTCAGAGCTCTCCATTATAGGAACCCCAAATTTGTAACTGGATCCAAGAAGGTAATATAATGTACGACAGGACATAATATTAGACATTAGACATAGAAAATGATTGAGGACCTATATCAATGTAATTTGTCAAATAATCTAAAAATTATAATCATTGTGTTGTCCAAAATAATCAAGTATTTTTCAAATGCTAATAAGAAATTTAACACAGAAATTCCATTTTAAAGCCTCAATTTCAGGAATACTTAGTCCAAACAAAATACATATATCTGAAGTAACCAAAAAGATTCCCTTTAGGCTGTATTAAATTATGAATTTATGTTATTAATGGAGCCCTTATAGAAAAATTTGAAGATTTAACAAAGGTGAAAGGACTTTGAAGGAAACAAAATCAGGCAATAGTAGGGAAAACAAAGTTTGAGTAAGCCCAAATTTGAGTTTTTCATAAAGTCAAATTGAAGAATAGAAGTGGGTCAAACGTAGCAAAAAAAGTTAAAAACAAATGAGACATTGCTGTCCTGATTTTTAACTTCGTCTAAATGATTCAGACTGTCCATCTCTTCCATCTCATGTCTCTCTTATTTCACTGCAGGAGTACCTATACGAAAAATAGTAACAGTAAGTCATCTGTCAAAGTATTATGTGAGTCTGGACTTCAATTTCCCAGTGACCTCTGATTCCCTGCTGCTGACAATGGTCACATCACAAAATCCTGTTTCATCCACAATAGGAGGGCCTAAGTTGCATCACTATGTTTTCAGAAACTGCAATGTCTTTGTAGGAGCAAGTAGTGCAGAAAAATTAGTAGAAGTTCAAGGTTATATAAAGAACAGGTGGGTACTCTGGGAGAAAATACTGATCCATTACTGAGAACAAAACACCACAGAAAAAATAGAAATTTTTGCTACATATCCCAGGTTGAAAAACTAGCTTCTTTTTAAATGTCAGAAAATTAAGTTTGTGTTTGCTTCAATGTAATCTGTTTTGTATATAGATCTCACTTATTTTGCATGACGGATCTTTCAGGAATTCATTTATCCCACACAATTATGGAGTCAATAACTAAACACCTTGATTTTAGGCTCTGGACTAGATGTGGATAACACAGAAAAGAGTATGAAGTGATGGCTTCTGTGGCTTCAGTGGCTTCTGTGGCTTTTGCCACCGAGAATCTAGAAATAACTACAGGCAGCCCTGTTTAGCTAGAGCAAATTCCATGCACTGACATTATCAAGATGACTTAGGAAATCTGAAATCAGCCTTTTTAGTTTACAAGATTTAGGAGCTGCCAGGGGGATCCTGTTACACTTTAGCCTTGAAACTTGGAGAGAGCACAAAGCCCACTGCACAGGGGTAGGAATTAATAATTAAGGTTCCTTGTTAGACTCTAGTAAGAGACATCGGTATGATATTAAGGATGAACACCCAGCAAGTTTTGCTGAGACACAAAAAGGACAATAAGTTGTGAGTAAGGTTTCAGACACTTGCACAGCTCTGCGTCTGATTCTTGTGCAGAATGCAGAGAAGGTGAGTTCCCAGTTAAGGGAGGGATGGAAGGTGTTGGGAATGTGTTATAAAAAACACAATGATGGGCTCCTGGGTGAATCACTATGTGTACCAAGTTAAGAATAACTGCTACTGCTACTTATTAAATGTTTATGACTCTGTGTTTGCTGAGCATGCACTATCTTATTAAATAGTCAATAAACACTCTAAGGAATGAACTATTGTCAAAGAACCAAGTTTCTATCATGTTTGAATTTCAATCCATTGGAAATACTTTTTTATATTGTTTTTGTTGTTATTGTTGATACTGTTTATTTGAAAGCCCTCAGGGAAACCCAGGCTGGAGCCCATCCTACTTACACAGGAAAACACAGCGCTGGTGAGTTCATTTACAGTTCATAAGAAGAAATGTTACTTCTTACACAAAATCTATTTGATAATTTAATGACAATATAAGAATTCCCAGTACTTACTGTTGAAAGTTTAGTTCCACAAAAATTAAACAGAAATTTTAAATGTCTTCAGAATAACTTGTCTTCCTAAGATGGAAGCTTCTGCATTCTTTCTCAAAGTTTTATCAATAGACAGTGTCTCCTAGAATTAATAAATAAATTCAACAAAATGTCAGGTTGCAAAACTAATGTACACAAATCATTAGTATTTCCATATATCAGTAACTGTCAAGGTAAGAGTCAAAACAAAGACGCAATACCATTCACAACAGCTACAAAGAAAATAAAATTCCTACAAATATACTTAACCAAGAAGGTGAAAGATCTCTACAAGTAGAACTACAAAACATTGATGAAAGAAATCATAGATGACACAAATACATGGAAAAATATCCCATCCTCATGGATTAGAAAAGTCAACATTGTTAAAATGTCCATATCACCAAGTGATTTACAGATTCAACACACTTCCCACAAATATGCCAATGTAATTTTTCACAGATCTAGAAAAAATAATCCTAAACTTCATATGAAACCAAAAAAGAGCCTCAAGAGCCCAAGAAATCTTAAGCAAAAACAAAAAACAAATCTGGAGCCATCACATAACCTGATTTCAAATTACACAACAAGGATACAGTAACAAAAATGGCAGGATACTGGTATAAAGGTAGAGATATAAACACCAATGGAACAGAATAGAGAATCCAGAAATAAAACCATAGAGCTATGATCAATTGATCTTTAATAAAGCAATCAAAACATATACTGGGGAAACAATGGCTATTCAATAAATGGTACTGGGAAAATTGGATAGCCACATGCAGAAGAATGACATGGGACTCCTATCTCTCACCATATATAAAAATTATCTCAAGGTGGATTAAAGACCTGAATGTAAGATCTAAAACCATAAAAATTCTGTAAGAAACTATAGGAAAAACTCTTCTAGACATCAACCTAGGCAAAGAATTTATGACTAAGACCTCAAAGGCAAATTCAGAAACATCAAAATAAATAAATGGGGCTTAATTAAATTGAAAATTTTCTTCACAGCAAGGGAAATAATCAACAAAGTAAATAGACAACCTTCAGAATCAGAGAAAATATTTATAAACTATATATCTGGCAAAGGGCTAATATCCAGAATCTACAAAGAATTCAAATAAATCAGCAAGAAAAAAAAAAATAAATGACTCCATTAAAAAGTGAACAAGAGACATGAATAGAATTTTTTCAAAAGAATATATACAAATGACCAACAGGTATGTGAAAAAATGTTCAACATCACTAATCATCAATCATCAGGGAAATCCAAATTAAAACCACAATGAGATACTACCTCACCCTTATAACAAAAGCTGTCATAAACAAAACATCATGATACTAGCATAAAAACAGAAACATAGACTAATGGAACAGAATAGAGGGCCCCAAAATAAATTCACACACCTACAGCCAACTAATTTTCAGCAACATGCCAATAACAAATATTGGGGGAAAGTGAATCTCTTCATTAAAGGGTGCTTGGAAAATTGGATATCCATATACAAAAGAATGAAGCTAGACGTCTCTCTCTCACCATAAATACAAATGAACAAATCAGGCTTAAATGTAAAGCTTGAAACTATGACATTACTATTAAAAGAAGAAAACATGGGGAGAAATATTTCACCAACCTTGGGCTGGGCAAGGATTTTTTTAAATAAGATCCCACAAGCACAAGAAACAAAAGCAAAACTAAACAAATAAAATTACATCAAACTAAAAATCCTTTTGCACAGCAAAGTGAAGAATTAACAAAGGGGAGAGATAACCTACAGAATGGGAGAAAATTTTGCAAACTACACATCTGACAGGGAGTTAATTGCTAGAAAATATAAGAAACTTAAATAGCTCAACAGAAAAAAAATTACAGATAACTTGATTTTAAAATGGGCAAAAGATTTTAATGGATATTTCTCAAAAAAAGACATTTACAAATGGCCAAGAGGTATATGAAAAAATGTTCAATATCACTAATCATAAATAAAATGCAAATGAATCAAAACAACAATGAGATATAAACTCACTCCAGTTAGAATGGCTATTACCAAAAATACAAAAGAAGATAGGTGTTGCATAGATCAATGGAACAGAATAGAGAGTCCAGAAATAAAACTATATACCTACAATTAACTGGTCTTTGAGAAAGTAGACAAAAACATATACCAGGGAAAGGACACATTATTCAATAAATAGTGCTGGGAAAATTGAATAGCCACATGCAGAAGAATGAAACTGGATCCATATCTCTCACCATATATAAAAATTAACTCGAGATTGATTAAAGCCTTAAATGTAAGATTTGAAACCATAAAAATTCTAAAAGAAAACCTAGGAAAAACTCTTCTGGACATTGGCCTGAGGAAAGAATTTATGACTAAGACCCCAAAAAACAAATGCAACAAAAACAAAAATACACAAATGGGACTTGATTAAATTAAAAATCTTCTAATCTTCTACACAGCAAAAGAAATAATCAACAGAGTAAACAGAAACTCTACAGAATGCAAGAATACATTTGCAAACTATGTATTCAGCAAAAGACTAATATCTAGAATATACAAGGAACTCAAACAAATCAGCAAGGAAAAAACAAACCCCATTAGAAAGTGGGCAAAAGACACAAGCAAGCATTTTTCAAAAGAAGATATACAAATGGCCAAGAAACATATGAAAAAATGGTGAACATCACTACTCATCAGAGATATGTGAATTAAAATCAAAATGATATACCATCTTACTCCAATCAGAATGGGCACTATTAAAAAGTCAAAATACAATAGGTGTTGACATGAATGAGGTGAAAAGAAAATGCTTATACACTGTTGGTGAGAATGCAAATTAGTACAACTTCTGTGGAAAACAATATGGACATTTCTCAAAGAACTAAACCAATCCTGCAATCCCATGATTGGAGGTTTACTAAAAGAAAAATAAATCATTATATCAAAAAGATACCTGTACCCATATGTTTATCACAGCACAGTTCACAATCACAAAGATACAGACTCAACCTAAGTGCCCATCAACCAATGAGTGGATAAACAAAATGTGAAATATATATATATGCACACACACGCACACACACACACACACACACATCCATGGAATACTATTCAGCTGTTAAAGAATGAAATAATGTTTTTTGGAGCAACTTGGATGAAACTGGAGACCACTATCCTAAGAGAAGTAACTCAGGAACAGAAAAATAAATGCCACATGTTCTCACTTAAAAGTGGTAACTAAACCATGGCTATGCAAGCACACACAGAGTGGTATAATGGGCATTGGAGACTCAAAAATGGTAGGGAAAAGGATGAAAAATTTACCTATTGGGCACAATGTAGATTATTCAGTGATGGGTACACTAAAAGCCCAGACTTCATCGTTGTACAATATATACATGTAACAAAACTCAACTTGTACCCATAAATCTATTGAAATTTTAAACAAAGGAAGTATTGACAAGGATGTGGAGCAAAGGGAACACTTACAAACTGTTGGTGGTATTATAATTTAGTACAGCCATTATGGAAAACAATACGGAGGCTTCTCAAAAAATTAAAAATAGAACTGCTCTATTATCCAGCAATCATACTACTAGATATATAGCCAAAGGAAATGAATTCAGTATGTTCATGAAACATCTGCACTCCCATGTTTATTGCATCACTATTTACAATACATGAGATATGGAATCAACCTGTGTTCAACAAAGGATGAATGGATAAAGAAAATATGGTCTATATGCACAATGGAATACTATTCAGCCATAAAAAGAATGTAATCCTATCATTTGAAAAAGCATAGATGAACTTGGAGTACATCACATTAAGTGAAATAAGCCAGACCCAGGAAGGAAGGAAGGAAGGAAGGAAGGAAGGAAGGAAGGAAGAGGAGGAGGAGAGGGAGATGGAGAGGGAGGAGGAGGAGGAGGAAGGAGGGAGGAAGAAAATTGATATCATGGAAGTAGAGAGTAGAACAACAATGGTTACTAGAGACTAGGGAAGGGAGAAAGGAGGAGAGGTTGGGAGAGGTCAATTAATGGATACAAAGTTATGTTTATATAGGAAGAATAATTTCTGGTGTTCCTTTTTTTTTCTTTTCCTTTTTTTCATATCCTGTCATCCATTAGTAAGTTCTGATGTTCTATTGCATAGTAGGGTGACTCTGCTTAGCAATGAAGTGTTATATATTACAAAATAGGTAGAAGAGAGGTTTTTGCATGTTCTTACCACAAAATAATGATAAATGCATGAGGTGATGGATACAAACTACCCTGATTTTGTCACTATGCAATATATACATATATCAAAATGTCAAACTTGCCCCTTAAATATGTACCATTACAATATGTCAATTAAAACATTTTAACAACTGTAATAGTCAAATCTGATGCATAGCATGCTCAGTAGCACTCTTCAGTGTCTTTGATTGGATTTTTTTAAATATTCTCATTCACTCATGTTCAATATTAGCCCACATCTAATTTTGAGTCTCTTTATCTAGTACCCATTCCTAATATCCCACAATAATCTTTCCAAATAGGGGTAATAAAAATATCTTCAGTTTTACACTAATGGATCCCATATGCCCTTTTACTTCTAAGTAATGTCTGCAAGGCTCACAGCTCAAAACTGTAATTATATGACAAGCCTTAACCAAGAATAAAAATTTTTTAAATGTATCTAATCTGGGCTACTAGTATGGTAAAAATAAACATAAAATTTGGTGCTAATAAAAGAAATTATAACTTCCTTGGGTTCCAATATATTTTGCTATTCAAACTAATGTACATGTCCAATGTTAAATATTTCACTTATGCTAACTAACCTGCAGAAAACATTCTACAGCATGGATACTGTAGCAGTCTGAATCTAATCAGAAGACAGAAATCACACAGTAAGTTACATGAGGGAAAGTTAATCTAAAGAATTATTAACTATGATAAAAAACTATAAAATATAAGGAAACTATACACAGCACCCAGGGCTAATGGAGAGTACACAAGGAGGAATAAACTTGGAAGGCATTCAGATCTTGCTGGAGAAGGTATGGTTTGCTCACTGGATATCAGGGAATTTCATTGGTTTGATCAGG